TAACGGCCCAGCCGTACGAGCTGCAGGTCTGAAACTCGGTGGAGACATACTAGACGGATGTCTGATGAAGCACGTGCAGCATCATTAGTGCAGACCTGACCAAAAAATTTCTACAATGTTTTTAATATTACAAAACCAACTTTGTTAGTGATATTTCCGGAAACATGCGTTTTCCGGTTTGACTAACTTAGCAACTTCGAAATTGTGACGTGTGTTTTCTGGTATCGTCTTACTAAGTTAGCAATTCAGGTATTGTTATGTGACTTTTCTGCTATCATCTTACTAACTTAGCGATTCCGTAATTGCGATGTGTGGTTTCTGGTATCATCGTACTAACGTAGCACTAAGTTACAAACCCGGAATTGCGACATGTGTTTTCTGGTATCATCTTACTAACGTAGCAGATTAGGGATTGTTATGTGACTTTTCTGGTATCATCTTACTAACGTAGCACTTTAGGAATTGCGATGGCAACATCTTACTAACCTAGCAGATTAGGAATTGTTATGTGACTTTTCTGGTATCATCTTACTAACTTAGCAAGTCCGGAATTGACGTTTTCTGGTGACATTTCACTAACTTAGCAACTTCGGAATTGCGACGTGTCCTTTTCACTAACTTAACTTCAGAATTGCGATGTACCTTTTATGGGTTCATTTGACTATTACAAACCGGTAAGACACTATGAATTGTCTAGTGACCAATATGCAAAACAAAGAAGTCAGACACTGATTTAACTTAACAACCTTTTATTACACTTAACAGCATCTTCATTAAATCTAATTTGGATGGACTGGAGCAGTCGGCGCCAATGCATCCTTATGCCTGAAATTTAAACAGACAGCAGACAAACATCAATCACCAGCGACAGCAACCATAACATAAAGTAATAGTAGTTGCAGTAGCACATTCAGTTTTTCAATGTCTTAACTTACTTTTCTATCTTCTTCATATAATAAGAGATATCGCGCAGGTTTAGCTTCACCTCTTTCATTGCAGCTAGCAGATGAGGATAGCCTTTCGTATAATGACGGAGCTGAAAAGTAAGCATTAAATCAGTTTAACCTTTTTAATTTTGAACAACCAATGAAATTACATGAAAGTGTTCTTACAATGTCCTCAGGAATTGGGCGAGTCCACATGTCAAGGCAAATTTCGGTAAGGATGTAATTTAGTTTTTCAACTGCTGCCTTTAATGAATCAGAAGAAACATATCTTTAATAACACCATACACATTGATATATATATGCATGTTTGTGCGTGTGTTTGTGTACAATGCCTCACCAGCTTGCATTTTCATAATCTCACAGATATTCTCAAGGTATTGTGTTTAATATATGTTTTTAGTTTTACCTGTGTATCTATCAGTGACAAATTATGATTACTTACTTCACGCTCTTTATTTTTGCAGTTCTGCGCAGACGCACTTTCTTTTCCTTGTTTGTAAATTTTACTGGTTGCCCTTGCCATGATGATGATTATCCTGGAAAAGATTAAAGTTAGGCTTTCCTATCTCATCCATTGCAATATATGACACTACAGAAGACAAGCCACCATAAAGTCTCTTAGCATTCCCGGAATGGCATTATCTAGCTTTCTAGCTTTTAGCTTCATAGCACTGTCAGAATTTCGTTATAGCATTTCCAGAATTGCGTAATCTAGCGTGAAGCTTTATAGCATTTCTGAATTACGTCAAGAACCTTCTAGAAGTTTCTAAGCATTTCCAGGATTCCGTCATCTAGCTTCAAGCTTCATAGCACTGCCGGAGTTTCGTTATAGCATCTCCAGAATTGCGTTATCTAGCGTGAAGTTTCATAGCATTTTTTAATTACAGCAAGAACCTTCTAGAAGTTTCCAAGCATTGGAAAAACATCAATAGACTTGATTGCAAGTCAAATGCAATCACATTAATATGCCGCTTCACGTTTCTGATCTTCATTAGCCTACCAAATGTTTCTCAGTCACCGTATTAGACGGGCACAGCATCTCGCTTACATTTAAACATTTTAGTCTAAGCATTTCACTCACAAATAAACAGTGAGATTGATTAAAACTGCTAAATTCTACTAATTTTTTTTTACATTACTTACCAAATAATGCTTTGAACAATAAAGCTTGCAGCCAGCTTTTTGATGTTGTTGTGAGGTGAAAAAGTACCAAGACTTTTATACTGAACCACCCACTCACGTGACAGATTTTCGCCCAATGAATACCTAAAGTCTATAAATTGATTTACATATTACGAATAAATCATTAACAAAACCATAATTTAATATTGTGACCATCAACTGACCGTGCACTTCCACAATTACACTTAAAACATTTTTTGTAATATTTCCTGAAATGTTAGTAATGCCCTGTCAGACCTTTGTGGTGATAAAGTTCAAAAATAGTGCAAAATTCACAAAGTGTGAAAATTAGTGACTGACACATTTTGGAATTGCGAAGTGTCTTTCTGGTATCATCTTACCAACTTAGCAACTTTGGAACTGCGACGTACCTCTTATGGGTTCATTAGACTAACGTAGCAATTTTGGAATTGTGATGTGTGGTTTCTGGTATCATCTTACTAACATAGCAGATTAGGAATTATGTGACTTTTCTGGTATCATCCTACTAACTTAGCAACTTTGGAAGTGTGACATGTGTTTTATGGTTTTATTACACTTACTTAGCAACTTTGGAACTGTGATGTGTGCTGTCTGGTTTCATTACACTAACCTAGCGATTCCGGTATTGTGATGTATGTCTTCCGGTGTCATCTTACTAACTTGGCAACTTTGGAAGTGTGACGTGTGTTTTCTGGTTTTATTACACTTACTTAGCAACTTCGGAACTGTGATGTGTGTGTTGTCTGGTTTCATTAAACTAACCTAGCGATTATGGAATTGTGACGTATGTCATCCGTTATCATCTTACTAACTTAGCAACTTTGGAAGTGTGACGTGTGTTTTATGGTTTAATGACATCTATTTATATATTTTACTTTATGATAAGGTATCTATCTGTCTATCTATCTATATATCTAATTTCATTTTTATTTTTTCAAAGGAAACATGGGTCGTAAAAAGGTGCCTTGCCCATTGTGTCACGTATCCTATATGAATGTGACAGTACATTTAAGAGATGTACATAACATTGCAAGCAGCAAGGAGCGAAAGCTCCTCGTTTCTTGTAAGACGGGCCGGTTTGCTGGTCCACTAGACTGCCCAATCACTGATTGTCCTGCAAAACAATTAATTCGGCTAGACAAGCACCTGCAACTAAATCATGATATAAGTGTTGAAGAGATTAAGACCACGGTTCACCAAGCCAAATGTGCTGCTGCCAAAAAGGCAGTTTTAAAGCACAGAGAAGAAACAAAGGAGAAAGATAATGAGATGGAAATAATGAAGCGCCGAATCGAGGAGCTTGAGTGCCGCCTTGAGCAATTTGAGGGGCCGAATCGGGACAAATCAGGCGATAGCCTAGTAATGCATAAGATCTTCTTCTTTGGTAAGTATAATAATGATTATGACATTTCTTATATCATGCAGTCAATTTAACCTGTAGTTGATGTCATTGCTGGCGATGCCTAATATCTATCTTGTTTATTTCAGTTCATAACTATCTGAAATCTTACAGAAACGTGAATAAAAATGCTAACTAAATCCATAACCTGTATTCTTTTCAAAATGTTAATTGTTGGAAATATTAAAGTTATTAAAATTAGGTTAAACTGGTAAAAAAGTAAATCATGTCACCTTTGTTTTACCTGCATTGGGGGCGTCATTCCGCTGTCACCGGAAGATCGCTATTCACATTATAAATAGCCTCATTACAGATGGTTAATTTTGTTCCTTTCTTAGATAAAATTCTTCCAGATTATAAGGAGAGCTTATTCCGTGTTGGTGACAACAGGAGAAGAGCTCAAAATATGAAGCAGGAGTTAAATTATGTCAATGGCTTCATCAAGTTCATGTGGGGCTCTTCAATGAAAACAGCACCTGGTCACCTGAAATTTCTTAATGACCACAGTAAATTAATTAACTGGGTGAAGGATTTGTCACAAAAATTTAAGGTCACGACCTGCAGAAACTATCTGCTTTCAGTTTGCAAGTTTTTGCAATTTCTCATTGATAGACGGCCAACAGCTGTCCGCCTTGGCCAGAGAATTTTACAGGGTCTGCTACGGCATTTAAAAATGCAAAGAAGTGCCATAGCTAAAGAAATTGTAGTGCACAGGCAATGTGTTAAAGATTATAAAAGAAAGAGGATGCCTACCAGAGACGACCTATGTGACCTCATCACGGAGCTACGGAGCAGAATTCCAGATGCTCTTGGTAAGCGGGCAGCCTGTGACCCCTGCAAATTTCTTAAATATGTAAATCTCAATTGCATAATTTCTGGTATTGTGGGGCTGCGTTTGTTTAATTAGCTGCCCATTGCTATGTCACGATGTCACATATTTGTTAAATGCAAAGGACACATGTTGTGCATTGTGTGCTGTGATGTGTTAACAATGACCACTAATCACTAATTTATAAAAAAAAAATTATAGAAATTATTGTTCATATAATGCAAAAGAATGCTTGCTAATGTCTTGTAAGTACCTTGCTCTGTTTTGGTCACAGATGCACTTTCTCAAGACCACAAAAATATTAACATAAGGAACAAGGCCATAGGCGCATTGGCGACATACTTATTTGCCTGCACTGGGCACTGGGTGAGTGTCCTTATAAACCTCACAATGACTGAGGTCCAGGAGTGCCAGGTGAGAACTATGTCATCAACGTGAGTACCTAAAAATTAATTGATATTGTGCTCATTTTTAGATCATGACATGACATAAAGTGACTTGGGACAGCTAAGTTGTAAAAGGTAGTATATAAACAGAAATTAAATGTAATTAAATTATTCAACTGTGTAACCCATGGATACCCAACTCCAGTCCTGGGGGGCCGGAGCCCTGTGTAGCTTAGTTCTTTCCCTGTTCCACCACAAATGATTCAGCTCAAGAGCTGTGTGGTAATTAGCACAAGGAGTTGAATCAGGTGTGTTAAATGAGGGGAAACCCAAAAATGTGCTGGGCTCCGGCCCTCCAGGACTGGAGTTGGGGACCCCTGGTGTAACATGTAAGTGATGTTTGTTTTGACTACATTTACCTGCTGTTTTCCACCATGCTTAGTAACACATTGTCCCATTCTCAAAGGTCTCCAGCCACAAGACATCGGCCTCATTTGGGAGGGCAAAAATTGTCCTCGCTAGCAGGGAGCATTGTTGGATACAGCAGTTTAATGAAATGAGACCAAAACTGCCAGGATACTGCTATAATCCTGTCACCTTATTTTTTTCATCGTCTGGAGAGCCACTGAACAAGCTCTGTGATCTTGTTCAGAAAGTATGTCTTGATTGTGGGATGCCCAGGGGATTCGGCGTTACGGACATCCGGTCCGCCGTTTCGACTTGTGTAAGTCTTCATTTCAAGCGATGTTAATGTGCAATTTCTGATTTGCGAGGTATGTTTTCCTGTGTTGTCTAACTAACTTAGCGATTTCTGATTGGCGACCTGTCTTTTCCGGTTTTGTCTTACTCACTTAGCAGCTTCGGAAGTGCGACGTGTCTTTTCTGGTTTCAGTAGACTAACATAGCAAAGTCGGAGCTGTGACGTCTCATTTCTGGTTTCATTAGACTAACTTAGCAGATTAGGAACTGTGACGTGTGTTTTCTGGTTTCGTCTTAATAACTTAGCAGAGTTGGAACTGTGACGTCTCATTTCTGGTTTCATTAGACTAACTTAGCAGATTAGGAACTGTGACGTGTCTTTTCTGGTTTCATTAGACTAACTTAGCAAAGTCGGAACTGAGA